ACTTATGTGGCTATGCATTCGCCGAAGCCATATTTTGCCAGATCAAGGTTAGCATAGAAAATCGTTTTGGGTTGTTTGTAGAAAACGGTTCAATCTCATTAAATATTGTTTTTTTTGTCACACTCATGCAGTTTCTGGATGGGTCACGTCCAATGGAGAATTTATTCGATTGCCGCTCACCAGTTGGGATTTGAAGGTAATCGAAAAATTTTCCCTGTGTTAGAAAAGAGAATAAGTTGATCACCTCGACAGTGGACGTCAGTGACCACGGTGCTGTATGTACTGGAGGAAACTGGCGAATATTCTTCATATTTAACTCACAGTCACTTGTGATTAGTGTGTGTGTGTGTGTGTGTGCGTGTGTGTGTGTGTGTGTGTGTGTGTGTGTGGGATGATCGATATTGATTGATTTGACTGACTATCCTTCGGACTTCATCTTCACGCACAATCCTCAGTTCATCGATTCAATCATACATTCGGAAGCACTAGACTGGAGTTTCGCTCTTATTAGAGCTCACCAATAGTGCATATCCACCATTCCACCGTCCCGGATTTGAACTCCAGACCCATCGCATGAAAGGCGTGTGCGTTACCACTGCGCCAACTATCTGATGCCTTTGCTGAACCAAATTGCCAATTCATGTTTGTTCAGGTGTTATCTTCAATGATAGTCAGTCAGAATATTCTTCAGCCATCAACTTGTTGGGTTCCGTGCAAAAAAGAATTCATTTAATGAATTCTGATCCGGATATTAAGGATGACTGTCCTCTCGAATCTCGTCAGTTCTGCCGCAGAGATTTTTTGTCATGCGTAAAATTCATCTGGCTACTGTCGTGAACTGGATGAAACTTCGGCTAAACACATCCACAATTTCCATCGCACCGATTTCTGGTTTCATGTAGCCAAACTGAGACGAAATAAGAAATAATTAGTATTTCTGCATAAAATTCATGTCGTAACAAAGAAAAGACCCATCAGCCAGAACGAATGAAAGAAACGGTGATCCATCTGTTCGAAAAGATTTTTCTCTCGAGTCTTAAGTTGTACATGACAGATAGAATGTAAGAAGCGATGATAGCAAACCGCAAAGCAGCAATGAATGCGCAAACGCATGACTGAAGGCCTCACAAAGTGATTGTATGACTGAATGCAACTGGATGATTGACTCGAGAACTCTCAGACTGCAGCAAATTAACCGCAGTCAGCAGACAGAAAAATTGACCGATTGCAGATAACTCACTGATTGACTAACTGACTGACTGACTGACTGACTGACTGACTGACTGACTGACTGACTGACTGACTGACTGACGGAAATAGTACAGATTTAAATCGCATTATTCTTCACCTCCCTAACACTGATTTCACTGTCATTTTTGTTCAGTCATTCAGGCATTCACTCACCATTTCCGAATGTAATAACATATCCCGTTCTTCCAAAAAATGTCCGTCTTGAAGTTGAATACACATTGAAGTTTTGAACTAAAACACCATGGGAAAAACAAACAAAATCGAATGTGATTTGTGTACGACCATATTCTGATTGGTGATCACATTTCTGGCATGGGAACCGATTCGTTCACATGTGAAAGTGCCATTAAATAAGAGCAACCTAAATTCAACCGGTACTCATTTGAATAGCCGCACAATGTTCAATGTCAAGATTTTGGTCCCTACATGATGGCCAAAACAAGCGCATAGTCTGGTTATGAATTTCTCAGTACAGGGTAAAATGTGAATCCACCAACTACTGTCTGACTACTAGAGTGACCTCAGCCAAATATCCGGGTGTTACTATCGATAATAATCTTCGGTGATCGACACACATTCAGAACTGTATGGGAAAAATTCGACACCTCTCCTTTCAGCTTCGAAAGCTCAGACAATTTCGTACTCCTCAAAACAAGTTTTGTTCTCCCTTGTTTAACAATGCGTTCTCTCTATTTTAATTTACTTCTCCCTTGTAATGTTTCCCGGTCTTTTGAAACAAGACTTTAAAACTATCCATTGTGGATTGATGATAATAAGCCGTGCATGTTTAATCTCTGCTTAATCGTTAATCACAGAACTTATTGGTGGGCACATGAAGTCTTGTATGACCTTTGCCAATAAGATTCTAAAAGACTTCACCCATCCTTTGTACCAGTCGTTATAAACTGGTGTACGCTCGTACCACTGCCTATCGTTTGTCCGTCATCCCCTATC